CGGTCCCGGGTCCGTCCCGCCGTCTCGGCCCGAGCCAGACCCGCAGCGGAGCGGGTCTCTTTCCTCCAGACCGGGCGGGTCCTGTGCCCCGCGGGTGGGGCTGCCTTACACCGCAGGGTTTTCACTTATTTTCATTTAGATTCAGTCCTGGCGATGTTAGCCATTAGCACAGCGAACCCAAATCCTCGCTTTAAGCGCTGTCGCCGTGTTTCACCGCACCCCCGGCAGGTTCGGAGCGAACCCTCCTGTCAAACATCTCAGCCCTGGTTCCTTACGGAGGTTCCTCCTGCACGGGGCACAACGCTGCCGCTTTGGTTTCATCTCAGCGAATGCCGTCCCGCCCTCAGCATCCCTCCCTGCGCCTTCCTCTCACCAGCCAGTTCTTGGCTGTGCAGCAGAGTCACTCTTCGGACGTGACCCTGGTGTCCAGCTCGGTTTCCCGACTTCTCAAAAGCCAGAAAATGTGTATCTTTCAGAAAACAGGCTGAACTTGTTTATCCAACTTTAAAAAGTGATTTACCAAGCATCTAGTAATTCTGTTGACTGGTTGAAAAGAAGAATTTGTTGACTTACATGGTGACATAATGTCAAAATTGTCAGTTGTTCACTTTCTGCTATAAGCTGGCTCTTGGTGTGCTGTGTTGGTTCAATAAGTATTGATCAAACTGGCTGTACCTGGCTGCCTTAGTGTCATCTTGAAATGTCAGGTGTCTGTCCTGAGTGCTTTGTTTGTCATGCTGCTTTATTCCTCAGATTTTCTTGGACTTTGAAAATCTGTATTTCTCAGCTCTGTCTTGATATCTTCACCAGCGCTGTTTGGACTGATCAGACTTAGAGGAATGAATGGATTTGACTTGTGTTTTGGTATTTCTAGGTGTAGTGCTTGTATCACCTATGTGTGTTGCTAGGGCGTAGGTCTTGAACAAAGGGGTGCAGTACGCTTGCTTTCAGTGGATCCAGATCCTACTTTTTCTTTAAGGTTCTTAGACAGTTACTGGTTCTGGCAAATTTTACTGGGATGTAAAACCATTGCTGCCTTTGTCCAACTTCCTTCCACCCCCTCATGGGAGACAGTAGGCACAAGTGAAGGGAAAGGGCCATGGCTTCAGCTGCCCTATGAGACCATGATCATCGTGGCAGAGGAGAACTTGTGATCTGTGCTGACTCTGCAGTGGAGGTGGCCACCCAGGCAGGGAACAGGTGACCAGCCTCAGCAAACTCTTTAAGGGTGTCTGTCACATCCCTCGTTTTCATGCTGGTGCCTTTCGATGCAGTTCTTGATTGGTTCCACGTTGTTCCCTTCTGGTACTTGCGTCCGAAGTATCTCACGTGCTGTACCATGGGGCCTGGAAGAGTTCTGGGAGTGGTGGCTTTGTTCTCTGCTTCTGTGCGGTTCTTTGTAACCTCACGTCTGGATCTAAATCCCAGTGAAGGTCCCTACTTCTCACTTTTGAGAGGTGCTCTAATCCAGTACAGATGTCTCTGCAGAAGAGATCCTCCATGATGATCTTAAAGTACTTGGATGTAGATGTTAAGATAGATTTTCTTTTATTCAAAGGAAGCATATGCTAAGAAGTTTTTAATGGTATTCTGCTCCAAAAAAGTGAAAAGACAAGTGTCTTGAGGGTGTTTTACATTACAGGTTTTTTCTTCAGAAAATAGGTTTCTGCTTCAAAAACATTGTATACTGTTGTGGGTTGACTGGCTGGACACCAGGTGCCCACCAAAGCTCCTCTAAAACTCCTTCTCCTCAACTGGACAGGGGAGGGAAAAATATAACAAAAGACTCGTGGCTTGAAATAAGGTCAGGGAGATCACTCACCAGCTCCCGTCACCAGCCAAACAGACTTGAGTTGGGGAAGTTAGTTAATTACCAGTCAAATCAGGGTAGGATAGTGAGAAATAAAAGTAAATCTTGAAACACCTTCCCCCCCAATCCCTCACTTCTTTCCAGGCTCAACTTCACTCCCAGTTTCTCTGCCTCCTTTCCCCAAGCGGCACAGGGGGGTGGGGTTGGGGTCAGTTCATCACACGTTGTCTCTGCCGTGCCTTCCTCCTCAGGGGAGGACTCCTCACACTCTTCTGCTCCAGCGTGGAGTCTCTCCCACAGGAGACAGTCCTCCACGAACTTCTCCGATGTGAGTCCTTCCCATGGGCTGCATGAACTGCTCCAGCGTGGGTCCCTCCCATGGGGTGCAGTCCTTCAGGCACAGACTGCTCCAGCGTGGGTCCCCCGCAGGGTCACAAGTCCTGCCACCAAACCTGCTCCAGCGTGGGCTCCTCACTCCATGGGTCCACAGGTCCTGCCAGGAGCCTGCTCCAGCACGGGCTCTCCACAGGCTCACAGCCTCCTTTGGCCACATCCACCCCCTCCAGCATGGGGTCCTCCCCGGGCTGCAGGCAGCTGTTTACTCCACCACAGACCTCCCATGGCTGCAGGGCACAGCTGCCTCACCAGGGGCTGCACCACGGGCTGCAGGGGAATCTCTGCAAAGGCGCCTTGAGCACCTCCTGCCCCTCCTTCTGCACTGACCTTGGTGTCTGCAGGGTTGTTCCTCTCACATATTCTCACTCTTCTCTCCAGCTGCAATTGTGGTTGTACAGTAACTTTTTTATCTTCTTAAATCCGTTGGCCCCGAGGTGCTACCACCATCACTGACGGGCTCAGCCGTGGCCAGCGGCGGGTCCATCTTGGAGCTGGTGGCGGTTGCTCTATCAGATATGGGGGAAGCTTCTGGAAGGTTCTCAGAGCACCCAGGTGCACAGCCCCTCCACTACCAAAACCTTGCCACACAAACCCAATATAACTATCGTGATGATAAAGGCTTGCTGATCACTCGCTTGACATTGCCCCCAGCACACGCTGCATGGACAGCCTCACGGCAAATCTCTTCTTCAAAGATGTTTTCTTCAAGTGTCGTGATTCAGTCGAGGCTCTTCACACAGTTTGTGGTGGGTACCTTTCCTTAGGCATTGATCTGCAGGTTCTTGTGCCTCTTCAGATCTCAGTGACACGAAGCCCTAACTCAAGGTTTCACTGGAGTGTAAAAACCACTCCAAGTAGAACTTTCCACTCTTGTTTCCTTTTGAGCTGTCGTCCAGATGTTTCCGATACAATGCCTTCCTTACTCTGCCTTCCTGAGCTTGTGAGCGGGAGGACAGGGGATGCAGATCTGAAAATGTCTCTGTTTTGTCATGTTGTCTTCATGTGTCCATAGGTGATGATGATAGCTCTCCGCAGAAGCGGAGTGAGTGCCTGCAGGTCTTTATTTGGATCATCACTCAAAAGATAAACACAAGGCCTCGTGGGAATGTGCCATCCCGCCCCATTTCAGGGCTTTTACGGAGTGTTCGTGTGGCTTGCCTTGAAGTTTGCAAGGACTGTGTTACCTTACAGTATACAACAATGATGTTTGCCAGTGAATTTTCTTCCTAAAAAGGTAGAGATGAGTTTTGCAGCTCCCTGCAGAACCTGTAAGGTAGTTGTGCAGTTGAGGTGCTGTGTCTGAGACTTGCAGTTGGGTAAGATGGGGCCAAGAGCCCAGCCAGTGGGACTTGGAAGGTGCAGTTGGAAAACCTGGGTGGTAAATCTGAGCCCACCCTGGGCTGGAGGAGATCACCAGTATACAAGGGGCCTGGATTCACTTCTCAGCATCTTCATTTCAGGAGGACCTGCGTTGTCTTCTCCGTCTGTACAAACAGACGTGAGCTGAGGCAGGGGTGGGGTGCCGGGTGGTGGGTGGGGTGAGCTGTTGCCCGCCTGCCTTTTCTTTCTGTCCAGGATAGCTTCCACAGGAGGGAGTTCCATTTCAGAACATCCTCAGGCGTCACTTCTACATTTGCCTGAATCTAATCCTTGGGTTTTTTTGGTTAAAGCTTCTCTCCAGGCTTCATCGGGAGGCAGGAGTGCTTCTTCTGTTGTCAGCGAGGTAGCTTAAGGCGTTCCTCAGGCGGCTGGTCTGAAATGTGGCCCCTTGCACCACCTACATCATGCCGCCTGCTGAAGTCTGCTGTGGAGTTCGTATTTCTGCTGCAGATTTCCTTAATGATAGGGGGGGTGGGTGACTTCTTACCAGGCTCAGCAATTTTGTAGTAGCCAAGAGAGCTTAGGAGTCGTAATGAGGGGAGCCAGCTATGTGTGTGATATTCCTTTAGTAATGTATGAGAGTCTGCTGATGTGCAGCTGCTGGAGTGGAAACAGTTATAAAGGAGAAGCTGAAGAATTCTGTGGTAGGCTTCCACCAGATTTTATGGAGCTATATCGACAAACAAGGACAGAATTACCACAGTGGACAAGTGCGGTCGTCTTGAACTAAACAGAGGTAAATGTAGTCAAGGTCAGGAATGTGAGGCTGATCTGTGGCCCTCTCCCGAGGCTGCGACATTGCCCGCGGGCAGATGAACTGCTTCACTCGCAGAGGTCACCTGCCTTGCCTGTTCAGGCCTGGCTTTGGCTGCTTTTCCAGGCGATGGTAGGACTGGCTGGAATTGTTCTCTAGAGGTTTCTGTGGCAAAGGAGCTTTTGAAGACAAGCTGTTTACTGCTGTAAAGCCTGCCTGAGCAGATACCACAGGTTTCCCCCCTTTGCCTCTTCCTCTGCCACAACATGCCGTGATTCTTTTCCTTCGTCAGTCTTATCCTAAATAGCTCGTAATCTGATTAGCCAGAGAAGCATTATCCACGCTTTACAGATAGTAAACTAAAGTTTAGCCGTGCTCTGAGGATATCCATCCCCGGTAGGTGTCATTTAACGTCGGCCAGGACTGGAACCACCACTAACAAGGTTCTAGCAAATACGGTTTTGAAATAAGCCTTGCACCTATTCTGTAGTTCCTTACCGAAAAAAGCGGGGAGGGGGAGGTGAAAAGGTGACTAAGAAAGGAATCAAACTGATTTTGTGCTTCACTCCAGAAAAAAATAATTTTGTTTACATATAACAACCCCTGCAGACTTAGCTGCAGTAAGGTGCTGGCATGACTGTATCTAGGATTTCTGTAAAACTCTTCTAACACTGAGGGTTTCTTTCTCCCCTTGAAGGAAGATGTAGATTCTTTTATGAAACAGCCTGGAAATGAGACAGCAGATGTAGTTCTTAAGAAGTTGGATGAGCAGTATCAGAAGTATAAATTTTTGGAACTTAATCTTGCTCAAAAGAAAAGGAGGTAAGTCCTAATTTTTTGCAGAATTGGGAAATGTTTAGCACAGTTCTATTTTTTTAAAAAAATAAGTCTAGTTTTTTAAATATCCCAAGAGGTAAAAAGTTGATGTTAGGAGAGCTAATATTTCCAGTATTTCCAGGAAAGCCCAGCTTTTTTTCTGTCTTTCTCCTGAGAATTACTGGCAAAAGAGTGTACAGTATTGCTGAATTGGTCCTTAACCGTTAAGGACAAAAAGTACTACTATCATCTCTTTAATTTTGTCAGCCTCGTGTAAATAAGAATATGTTTTTGTCAAATGACTGCTGTATCAAGTCTGCAACTTTTGGTTTAGTAATGTCATCTCTCCTCAGTAGCTTCAGTCTCGATCTGAAGCTGGGCAAGAAGGAAAATTTTAAAAGCCAAAATCAAAGCTTCACGTAAATTTTTTTTTTTTTTCGTGGACAAACCAAGCAGTGAGCCTCAGTGTGGTAAGAGGCAGGTGAGGCTGGGCTGAGATGTTTTTACATGCCATATCTTTCACATCTGCATTTGTAAGCCTGGAAAGCTGTTAGAGTTTCAAGTTTTAAAATGGAGGTTGGATTTTATGATAAAACTGATCACTTGTTTAGGTTTTTTTTTATTTTCATGGACAAACCAACCAGTGAGGCTGGGCTGAGATGTTTTTACATGCCATATCTTTCACATCTGCATTTGTAAGCCTGGAAAGCTGTTAGAGTTTCAAGTTTTAAAATGGAGGTTGGATTTTATGATAAAACTGATCACTTGTTTAGGAAACTTTGTGTCTCTGTAAAATAATAAATTATGACTGTTGTTAATTCACAGGCTAAAAAGTCAGATTCCTGAAATTAAACAGACATTAGAAATTTTAAAACACATGCAGAAGAAAAAGGTAAACTATTTTGAATATCTAATGAGTATGAGAAAAGCTAACTGCCTTTCCACCCTAACAGAACACATTGCAAGAAATGTTTTGGAGAGCACACTTAATATGCCTTTATAAATAACAGAATTGTTTTTAAAGGTATGTAGTACTTTTTGAAAGCTAGTTCAAAAAAAAGCTAATGTTTGTAATGCAAACTTCACTTTTAACAGTGTATAGATTGCAGCTAAGCTTTGGCTTCGTCTCTGTTCTTTATAGAGATTTCTGTATTGTTTTTAAATATATCTTTTTGAAATGCTTTGTTCTTGGAGCTCTAACTTGAACGTTGAAGTAAAATTACATAGAGTTCCAATAAAGTTAATCCTGTATCAATGGCAAAAAGCAGAAGAGTGTGCTCTTTACTGTAACTGTTTTGTCTTTGATGTAAATTTCCTGTGAAAATAGCAATTTTAAGTTTTATCATTTGTCTTAAGGATTCCACAAATCCAATGGAAACCAGATTTTTATTGGCAGATAATCTCTACTGCAAAGCTTCAGTTCCTCCTACAGATAAAGTTTGTTTGTGGTTGGGGGTAAGTAAAATGGAACTTTCTCTGAAACTCTTTCAATGATTTATAAGAAGGCAGTGTTCGTGGCTGTCTCACCTGTGCTGCCAGTGGCTGTGGGCATCGTTCTGTTCACCTGTGCATAGCAGGGCTGTGTCCTGGCAGCAGGGCAAACCTAACAGGACAGTTTCAACACGTTAGTGAAGGTTTCATGTTCGATTTTATTTGGTGCCTGAACACTAAAACCTCAGAGAATTGTAATGTTGCTGGATTGTCCTTTCCAAAAGCATATTCATGCATGTTTTCCGTGTCACTTCTGTCACCTTGTCGTTCAAATTACCGCCCAGCACTGCCTGGGATGGGAATGTGCCCAGCAACTTAGTTTGGCAAGTGACTTCCCATCTTCTCTACGTTATTTGTATTTAGCATCTTGCTTTCCCTTTTCACACACATTTTTAGGGAAGGATGGGAGTTCTCACAGGTACCTGTCGGCATTTGGAGTGGGATTTCTGCTCCGGAGTGGTGGGATCAGAGCTCAAACCACAGCTTTCTAAGTACTTAAGCAATATCAAGTTGGGATATTTTGTATTCCCAGGCTTCCTCATAATGTGGAGATAACCTGCTAATGTTTATTTTGAGATTTCTAAATCCCTTTGTTGACTGCCAAACAAAACCAGTTGGTTAGGACAGAAACATTGTTGACATGTGCAGCATCCCCACTGCTTGGGCAGTTACTCCCAACCTCTCCCACTTCTTTTCTGTCATAAAAAGAGATTTGTCTGATACCTGTCGCTTTTAGGGGACTGTCTTCCGAATTAACAAACATTGACTTTCATGGAGCATCCCAGGTTTATTTGGTAACAGAATATCAGAGCAAGTTCATCCTGTTGCTGGTTCATCCAGAAGAGCTATGATGGGATGCCCCAAGCAGTTTATTATATGTAGGTGCTCTTGGCCTTCTGCCTTTATCCTCCGTGTTGCTTGCAGTCTGCACGTTGGGCTGTGCATAGTACTGTTATTGGGGAAACGGTGTCTTCCCGTTATTTTCCAAGAAGAATGGCATATCTCACTCTTGCAGCTCAGCGCAGCATTCCCTGGGATCGTGTTGGTTAGTGGTTTGAGGCTCTGCTCAGTACACAGTTCTTGAACGCTCCAGAGCTTCACTGCTGCCTCTTCACTTGATAACTGCTCTTGCATCTCTTCGTGTGGTAGCTCCTTCCTGCAATAAAGATTTGTAGATTAAAAGCTCCCGTGGTACAGGGTGGGACTTATGTTGTATCTTTAAATACCTGCAGTACTTCTCGTTGCTGAGCAGTGCCGTTGGGCAGTGGTCCACACAGAGAGATCCTGAGGCTAGTCTGGAATGCAGCAGAAAACGTTTCTAGAGTGGGGTGACTCTTGAAAGGTGCCGCTAGGAAATGTGAAGTCTCTCTTTTCATATATGGTGAAGGTGGGATACGGAAAGGCTGCATGCAGTCCACAGGGAGAGAAATCCCTTGTTGCTTAGCTCTAGGAAGAGAACCTTTTTGAAGTCACTAGAGGGATTTATGTCTCAGTTCCTGAAGTGGCGGAGGCCTCAAGGGGATTCTGGCGTTGCTCATCCTGAATGGTGTCCTGGCCTGGCAGGACAGCCGTGTGTTCATGTGACACGTTATAAGCAACAGCCTGAAAAAGGCCTGCTATGGCTTCTTCCTTACAATCCAAGAGTAAAAGCTTTTATCAATCCTTCTTTTTTAGGCCAATGTGATGCTTGAATATGATATCGATGAAGCTCAGGCTCTGTTAGAGAAGAATTTGTCAACAGCCACAAGAAACCTGGATCTTCTAGAGGAAGACCTGGATTTTCTTAGAGATCAGTTCACCACTACAGAAGTCAGTATCCTTTGGTTTTTTTGGTTTTTTTTTTCTTTTTTTTTTTCAGGGGAAGAGGTGTATATGACAGCCAACATACAGGTAATCACCAATTTCCTGACACATTTTATCTTAGACTGGCTGCCCTTAAGATTCTGTAGCACTCCAGGAACTTTAACCTTTTCTAGGTATAAATGCTGCAGTTCTTAACAGTTACTAGTATTCCTGTGTGTTAAGGCTTTGCACCAAGTCACTCTTTGATTAAATAGTTTCTATGTTGGCTGTTAAAAGGAAGTGAAGTATGTCTGGCCAACTGTATAACCAGCTTTTCCTGCTTCCCCCCCCCCCTTTTTTTTTTCTTTTTGGAACACATGAGCTATTTCCTTAATTCCACACCCTCAGATATGGCTAGAGTTTATAACTGGGATGTAAAGAGAAGAAACAAGCAAGACCCTTCCAAAAACAAAGCATAGTTTTGCCAGTTTTAAATGTGGTTTCAATTTCCAAATATTTTTTATTTAAACACCCCCGAAGTTCATTCTTAAGGGACTGAGTTACTTTAAGCATTTCAGTAAATGGTAAAATATATAAAAACTAATGGAGAGCACCATTTTATTTATTTGTAAACTCAAAATTTGGTTTCGTGCATGCTTCATGAAAGGAATTATTTGAAAAGGCACCACACAGTCCAGCAAAGGACATAGTATTTGATCAGAGCAGTCTGTCATAAATGGATTACTACCTGAAAGCTTCTCTGAAAAGTTGAGGGGCGTGTGTGAGACGGAGTCTGACATTTTAGCAGGTTACGGTAACGCAGGGGTTTACTTTTTCATCTCTGTGTACAGCTGATGAAGTTAAAGTCGACTTGGGCGGGGAAGACATGCAGCTGTAATGTTCTAGGAAACAGAAAAAATACAGTGAAGTCTCGGATATAGTTTCAGTCAGTTAATTGGCAGCACAATCTGCAAGCATTCCTGGATATCCACTTTGAATAAACTTGTTTTTAATAATCATTGGTTAGTTAACTGCCTGTTACTGAACTCTCAGCACTTTACGTACAACAGTTTGTGACTTGTCTTCAGAGAAGAGTGGGAAATGGAGTAACCAGCACAAGCCGTGTCAGGACTGGAGGTGATCTCACCCCGTTCTTTTTCATACCTGTGCACACACCGCGTATTTCTGCAAATGCGTTGAACAAGGACACCAAAATGCTGATAGCCTGTAAACGAGAAACCCCCGGTTTACGATCCCTTAGACAAGATGTTCAAATGTCTTAACGCTCTCAGCCTCCCAGGTGGTGAAACCTGTATTAGGCGAGGATGGTTTACTGAAGCGTGACTTCTGGTGGTAGCAGTTGGAATATCTTTTTTGGTAGCAGTTGGAATATCTTTTTTGGTTCTTCTGAAGCCTTGCAAAGATTGTTGCCTTTTACCTCTGCAGTTTCTTTCTAAAATGAAATGCTCAGTGGTGATGTCAGTGGCTAATATTCACATGCTGTGACTGAGAATACAGGTTTCGCTGCAAAATAAATGCAAATGTTAACTGTTCGATCTTCATGTAAGAAACAATATACCTGTAAATTTTTTTGTACTTTTATTTCATGATATTAAAATAGTAAAACTAAACAGTTGTGGCAAACACCTGTTTTTGTGCATCTTTCTTTGTGTAAGAAATTCCAGAACCTGATGTGTGATCTTTTATAATGTTTCCCTTCCTTAATTGGGAGCAGGGGGGAAAAAAAAAATCAGTTGAAGCAGCAGACCTGGAAAGTGGAGCTGCTGAATACTGGCTTGGATGAGCGGGGGAGTGTGAGTCAGCACGTCTGAATTTGTGAATGCAAGCAGCTGATCCGACAGCACTGTGCTGTAAAAGAGTAAGAGCCATGGGGACAGCCATGAAACGGGTAAATCCTCCCCACCGGCCACAAGCAAGTGCCTGGGTTTGGCTCATTCATACCTTTCCAATGCTGCTCGTTCCAGAGTCTTTGGTGGTAGTGGTGAGAGGTTTAGATCTAATCTATCATTTGACTTGCAGGTACACTGTGCTGTGGTGGGGCTGCTCAGGCTGCTTCTCTCCCTTTCTTTTAATTTAAGAGCATCAGAAATCACGGCAAGGGCAGCTGCACACACATCCTGATTTCTCTTGCAATTTTCTCTTCAGTTTGGATTAATGAGATCCCAACAGGCTAAAGTGTGCTCCCCCCCTCCCTCTAGCCAGTCCTACGGCAGCAATCGCCCGCCTTTGTCGTGCACAATGAAATGACGAGTTCAGCGTTTCTGCACGAGCAAAATAAGGACAGTGTGCAACGGCCAGTGACCTAATGGTGTGTACTGGGCGGGGGGGACAGCGTTAGAGCTGGAATTGCTCAGTAGGTTCAACATGTATCTGGCTTGGGTGGGATAGGAGATGGCTGTGGCCATCACAGCTCTTGTTTGGGGTATTTGTTTGTTTGATATGAAGTAAAAAAAAAATCATCCCAAAACCCCCCAAAACTCCTAGAGAAGCCCTTTGCCATTGTTATTCCTAAGAACAGAAGGTCAGTTTGCAGAAGCTGTTTTAGCTCCTGGAGGGGCTGAGGCTGCTTTTGGTGACTACTGCAGGGAGCAGGGGTTTGTTTGGGGGTTTATTTTTTGTTTTGTTTTAGAATGCCTGGTGTTTCTATCATTGCTGGGTTTTTTTCTCAGCAAGGTAGCTGGCTGGTTCTGAAGAAGAAAATAGCTTTCAGAGAAACGTGTAGCGGAGACCGTAGCAAAGAGCGCCTGGTCATTGCTGAGCCAGTCTGTGTTAGATGATCAGTTCCAGCTGCGGTATAGGAGTGGCACAGGCAGGAGATAGCTTACTGATAAAGAACGAGGAGGGGGAAAGAAAAAAAAACCACCACACACCACCACCACCCAAGTTTCTTTACAAGGTTTAAATTTCACATTGTCACATAGTAACCATTTTGCTAAATACAAGCATATTTTCAGTCACATACAGACAGCTAAATACAGCATTATTTTCACATTTCGTTACAGTGCATAACAGAAAGCGAGGAAAGTGTATATAGTAGGCTTTTATTCTGGAGGTTCTGAGCAATTTCAATTGAACATGCAGATTGGTATTAACATGTCGTTAGAGACCAAAGAAAGTTAGCTTTTTCTTTTTTTTTTTTCTTTTTATTCTAGAGTAAAAGCGCTCCTGCCCTTTATCCTGTGAAAGGTACCACCTTCTGATTTCTCTAAAGCCCTCCTGCACTAGAAGTCAAAGCATTAAAACCAGTTGTTAGAAAAGAATCCTTAGCATATCCTATAAGTTCTTCATCTTAGAAAAAACATTCCAAATTTTTTACAGATGAATCTACATTTCCTATATTTTAATAAGCGGTCTAGAAAATGCAAGGAATTAGAAAAAGATGTATATAATGATTTCTCTATCATTTAATATAACCATTTATTACCTCTAAGTAGTTAAGACTGCGTACATTTCTCCTGTACTGTTCCTCTTTTAGAATTACGACACTTGTCTTTTTAAATTGAAGATTTACTCCAAAGGCCTGAATGCACTTACTTATTTGGGCTTTTTTCTCTGGGAACAGTAAGGGGTCATGTCTAAAACCTATTAAATAAAATATTGGTTGTCTTGTGAAAAGTGACACTGCTGGCCAGCTTCCTGCACAGAGCATTAAGAGAATTTTACTATTGCTAAAATGCTGTTTGATCCAACTTCTGCCGTTCAGGCAGTGCTCCAGCTCTGCCCCCTCAGCCAGGCCACCCACAGCACACCTGAGGAACAGCCGGACCCTCAAAGACCAAAGCAGTTGCTTGGCTGACTTTCCATTCTAAGAGTGATGAAGCTGACTCCTTCGTACCTGTCTGTACCTTGCCTGTGTGAAAGTATGAGCAACAGACCTGCTCCAAGCAAACACTCGCTCTTCACTGGCATCGCTCTCTTCCAGCTTTGCTTACCTAGAAAGAGATTTTGTAAAGGGTTGGGGTGGGGTTTTTTGTTTGTTTTTAATCTTTAGGGCACTCAGCTCAATCACCACTGACTCTGCCAGGAATGCACTGGGCTTTAGCACAAGGGTTTTGCTGTTTACAGTCTGTTCAAGAGCCATCAGGTGTTAGGAGTGACAAGCTTCCTGCAAAGTGTTAGACCATTGCCACCCCTCCCTGCCACTAATTTGCTCCCAGTGCCCTCCCAGCAAGTGCAACACCACTGCTCCCCTGCAGTGCCCAGGAAATTGTTCCTAGAACACTGAAAATAAAAAAAAAAGTTATTCATTTTCAGGGTTTTCGTGTTTTTTTTTTTTCTTTTTACAAGTTTAATATGGAAACCACAGGGTTGGGTTGGTTTGTTTTTTTCTTCCTTCATGCAGAACTGTCCATGTGCTGCAAACTGTGATAACAGGTTCAAAGCAAGAAATACTCTGAACAGCGATCAAGAAGATCCACACTTTTATAAATGGGGTAGCTTAAAAAGCTGCAACAGTATTTTATTCTTCTCTACTTAGAGGCCTAACAATCAAACACTAGCTGCTCCCTGCAGTTTTTACCTAGTCCCTCCATCCTGCCCATCAGCAGTTTGGTGTATAAAGCCTGCAAACTCCAGTTAAAAAAAAAAAAAAGTCACTAATAGTTTTGTTTGTTTGCTTTTCATAGGCTGAACTTCCCTAGTTTGCTACCCTGCTGCACTTCAAAAGCTTAAGTTAAAACTTAGCAGAAGCAAAGCTTCTAGCTGGTGAATGGCATTCCCAGAGAACATCCACCTACACAGAGCTTTTGTAACACAGCTGCCATTCCACAACGACCAACCTGAGATGGATCCTCTTTTGGCAAATTAAAACATGGAGGAAAACAAATTTTACTCTTGAGCTTGTCTTGTTGCTTTCCTTTCCACCTGCTCAGGCACTTCTGTTGTGTGCTGCTCCTTCCCAGGGCTAGTTCTTGTCTTCCACAGATGCCAAGAGAAAATGACACTTTAACAGCAGAAAGTACTGATGGAAGCTGTTCTTTCCATGCTATTTAACTTCTTTAAAAGCAAATCTCACCTTTTAGGATGTCTGATGCACCTGAGTTAAGCTTTTCAAGTTTTTTTATTTTGTTGAGATTTTTCTCCCTCTGCCTTTCCATTCCTCCTTGTGACCTGGCTGGTGAGACACCCAAAAGGCTAACAGCACAGTGCTGTTAGTGACACAGAAATGTCTGTGTGTCCCACCTGGCTGCACCACCCCAGCCTTAAGATGTGACATACGGGGACATGGTTCTCTCTTTATGCTCTCGATCACTTAGTTCTGTTGGAAAGCCCTGAACTCAGGGTACTTTCAAGGTACTCACCTAGGGAGTAAATGTGTAAAAATGCATGGAACAATTACTACTGGAGCAGGAGTTGCCACTTAGAATCCAGTTCAGCACAGCAAGGAAAGCACTGTTGGGGGATAATTTAAATTTTAATTACCAATCAAATAACTACTGTTTTCCTCTTTAAATCCCACAGAATATTCTTTGCTATCGAGCTAGGTTCAAGAACATAAGAAAAATTCAGAAGTGTGCACACCATGTCAGTAAACTTTTCCTGTGGAGTTGGCATTATGAGGAAACAATATCTGCGCTGCCTTTACACCTTCCTGGTAATAAACAGCCGACACAAACCAAGACGTCCTCTTTCTTTCTCTCTATCTGCCCATTTGGCATGCTGCTCAAGTATCCATACTGTGGCTTCAATACCCAGCATGGAGCTATGGATTTACTTAAATGAGGACATGTCCAGTACCCTGGCACGTGCCAGCCCCTCCAGCTCTCTGGATCCTCTCTCCTGTCTCGTGCAGCCCCTCATTTCTGCGTCCTGTCTCCTTACGGCATCCACACGCACCCTCACTCGCTCTCCGGTAGG